GACTGCCACTTGAGTAGAGTAATTTATGCAAAATAATCGTTTGTTTAGATCCGTGGACAACCAGGCGACTGTCGCCAGCACTATCGAGGAGCTCAACTCCGAGACCGAACTTTATTCATAAAATATCGTCAGCACTTGAAGTAAGCCGGCAACCCAGTCCCGAACCACCGCCAGTGCCTAAACCTGAACCTGAACCTGAACCCGAACCAGAACCCGAACCAGAGCCCGAACCACAGTCCCCACATGACCTTGAACCTGCTGAGCCTCAGATACAGCAGGAGCATGAGCCTAGCCCCGAACCCCAGTCAGTGGTCATTGAGTGCGAACTATTTCCTCATCCAACACCATCACCAGAACCATCTTCGCCCGAACTACCTCCTTCACCTTCGCCCGAGCAAATCGCTGAACCAGAATGCACGCCAACTCAATTGGATGTTCTGGAATATGAAAGTGATTTAGAAGAAAGTGTGCTTATAATTGAACGTCCACCTCCTGAGGAGAACACAATGGAACCAGAACCTCAACCTCAACCCGAGCCTGAACAGGAACCAGAACCGGAACCCGAACCACCAACGCCAGCAGAGGCTGAACCGTTGATAGAGACCGTGACGACGCCTGAAACTCCGAAAGCAAGCACTCCTCCGCCAATCGTGAGCGTTTCATATTCGTTGCTAAAGGCATTTTATTTGCTCGCACAAAAAACATTCATGAGATTGCTCTTCTGTTATAAGCAATGTCAGAAATAGACATTGTTTGATTCCGGATGCCATTCACAGAGAAATTCTGCACATTCTAATGGTTTTTGGAAGTGAAATTGACTGATAAATCGAGCTAGCTCTCAAATTTTTGGGATTCTCTTAACGCACGTTCATTTGAGCATCGCTGTGTTGCAGGTCAGCCCGACGCCTCGTCATTCAAGTTAGTTGTCTTCGATTGGTCCAAAGATTGCTTCGACATGAATTCGGACATCTCATTTGATGACACTCAAGCTAAATCGATTCTACTCTAGAAAAANGTTCTGTTGTTCCGTGAGTGTTGCGCGTTTTTTGCTGCCTTAAAACTCTCCGCACGAATATTTAAATGGAGAATATATTTGCGAAATGGATGAATTTTCAGTAGCCACAAGTATCTTACCGATGGATACACCTAAGAAAAGTCAGAGGGACTACAGTAATGATGCGTGGAGGCGTTACCAAGAATATCAAAAGGTTCTTCGTCTTATCCTAATACTCAGTTTCTTGTTTTGCCGTCCTGGAAATTGCATCTGCAGATGATTGTCGAATCGCTATTATCGCTTAGGATTAAAATATAGATTAGTTTGTTCACTTTAAATTTATGAACGATTTTGGTAGCAAACAGCCACAGCTCGCTTCTAACTGAAAAAAAAACAGGTGCTAATGGGAATATTCTCTTAGTGAATCATTAATCAATGTACAGTTGATGAAATTCAGCCGAAATGGTTCGGTTTGCATAATGTGCTCTCCAATGAACCATTAGACGATTTGATCTTTTCAGCAATGGTCAAGATTCAGGGAGACAAAGGCTGCTCAGTCAGCATCGTCTGAACATGAAAGGGTAGGTGCTATCAGAACGTGAAACTTGAACTGATAGTGAGATACATTCCATAGAAATGATACTGTTCACTTTTACTCTCCGCAATCAGTTTTAAACCGAGATAAACTAATGCACAACTCCATCACGGACCACGTATGCATGGATATTCTAATTAATACATATTATGTATCGTAATTTTCTTCAGGTTACGTCTTATTTCATAGTTGTATCTCTAGTTCCATTTTTTGGGAATGTGATGGAAAAAACGAGAGCTCAGTGTTTAATGGAATGTTGTTTGAATGATCACAATATCAAAAGAGTTTTTTTTAACAGAGACGGAAATCGCAGCCGCATACGGACACTAACGTGGATAGTGCTTCAACCAGCCAGTCGAAGGTTCCGCCTAGACGACCACCCCCTAAACGTGGAGCTTATCGAGGGCAGTCAAGAGGAAGAGCGAAGAAGACGTGAGAAGACGATGCATTTCGCACTTGTTTTGTACATTCATTTATTCTGATATGTGATCTTGAATGGTTGGTTAAGAATGAACAACAATAAATTATTTCTGTTCTTGCACTGTAATTTATGCTGGCGATGAACACACAAATATATAACCACAAAAAACTACGTCCTATTGCAACAATGATCTGATCCGGATAAGTTCACTGTTCGATAATCTAGCTAGTGACTAACGACTGCATCTTTTTTTTTTCATGACGGTCATACATCCGGCTTATAGTTAGTCGGGTGGAATGCATGCATAGTTTACTATCATATGGTCGCTAAATTTACGTAGTTTCGACTGGGCCGTTCCACCCGTACTGGTTCGTTGTTTATGGTGGTAGGTAGTTGGCTCGTTGAAAGCAACACAAAACCAAAAGTGAAAAGTTGTGCTTTGTTCAGTTTTGCGTTTGTCACTTTAAGAGTTATTATCACGACAAAAAAATGATGGATTACTTATTGTTAACAACTGTTGGAAATCAGACAACTTAGGAAAACTGCATTAAAATCTCTCATAAGGCTCGTTTATATGTTATGAGCAGCGGTTCAACGTGAAACTTATTCGTCTTTAAGTCTCATTTTAAGTTCTCCTATGCGAAAATAACTTTTTTTTCGCACAGCGATAAAGTGTTCCGTCCAGACGACAGGTGCAGCTTTGAAAAAGTGTTTCAGACGGTTTTCAGTTGGAATTATTTTGACCAAGCGAAATGTTAACATTGACATTTTTAAGCACTGCAAAAAAAAAAACACGAGCGTCTCTCTGGTTGGCATTTGAACTGGTGAGTAACACGAACAATTAATCTTCGTTTCTCAAAAAAATGAGGAATTTTTTCCTCGAAAGCACAGACGAAATCTTAAGAAGCATGTTGAGCATGTAGTCTGTCATCACGTTAGAGTTGTGGTCGTGTGCAGCTGGAGTGTAATTCAAGGATTCACCTTTCGACAACTTCACATCCGATTGCTGTGCTCATTTTCAACGCTATGTTGAAAGCGATGGATTGTCTTGCAGATCAACAGTTTTTTGGCATAAGTTAGATGCATAAGTTAAATTGGTATCCCCAGAAAACGAAACGACGCATCAACAGATCGCTGAAGGTTTCTGAACATTTACCGATTCAAAATCGTTGAAAAGGCAGAAACTTCACGAAACCTCAACCGATGCAGCAGCAGCAGCAGCAACAGAGAAATTCAACCATCAAACTCGTATATTGCTTGCCCAATTGAGTTACATTCATTCCTTACTTGCGTATCTTTTTGCAATTAACCACATGGGATTTATAT